CCTGATATGGAAATGACAGCCTGGGTATGTGAGGGGACAGGCTGGGTCCCTGACACCTGCTATCACGGGAGGAGCACTGGATTCCACAGCTGCAAACCATGGGACGATGGTGAGGGCGTCACTGCTCTGTGCCTTAGTGAGGACCATGACACCAGGAGGGGCACTTAGAACGTGTGCTTGCAACTTGCTTTACTCTCCTCCCCACCTTGCTAACCCCCCACCCCTGGAATTGGCAATTCTCCAAATGTGAGCCAAATGACATTCATGAATTTGCCTGGAAATAAAATCTGTTCAAACTAAGGCGTTAATTGAAGCTGTTTCTGAGCAAGTCAGTGTCCTAGAATGAATCGTATCAGTGTAAGAGAAAAAGAATCAATATAACGGTGCGGGAAATAGCGTTCTGAGGTCTGAGGCCACCTGTCCTGAGTCAGACGGGGGACTGGCTCAAACGCTGTAATCAGGATGAATGTAACCGTGCGTGTCCACCCCGGCCACCGCACACCCAGCGCTCCCAGCCCATCTGCTGACAGTCCTGGGGATGTCATCAGAGTTCTACGTCATAAGGAAAGGATGAACGATGAGCAGAACAGCCCCAGTCGGTGATCTGACGAGCTTGGGAGCGGCCAGGTCCCCCCACGGCCTCCATCCTCATGGCTGGCGGCCCTCCCACCCCTGCCGACAAACACATTTGCCATAACCATAACTGGCCAGGAGTCACGGAACTTGCTCAACAAAGAGATTTTGCCAGAATAATGTATTTTTCCCTTTAGAATCAATAGAACAGGACAGAATAACACTCATTTCCTTCAAAGCAGGGAATGCCCACCTTTGGGCTTAGAAAGCTGACTTATAGGGAAGATGGTTGAAAAATGAGTTCTGCGTGAAAACACAGGTGAAGACCTATCAGGAAACTGCCATTGCAAAGAAGAACTCTTTCATGCAGGAAGCCCTTCCACGCGGTGGAGGATGGCCCGGGGAAAGGAGAGAGCGCTAACCAGGAGCTCTGCCGCGGGTTGTGCGTTTGGGCTCCTGTGCAGCTTCCGGTCCTTCGTGGCAATTAACGAACATGGTGGTAGCTACAGACCCTGGGACCGGAGGAAGACGGAATTCTTTCTAACCAGACGGCAATTAATATCCAACCTCCCTCCTCACTCCTGCACGCAATCAGACCTACCCAAATCTAGACAGGAAAAGCCCTAACGCATCTCCAGGTTTCATGGAAAAAAGGAGCAGGGCTGAGGACAGCTGACCCTGGCCTTCGCCATGCCTGCAGCACCTGATGCACACCGTGGAAGTATTTCTTACGTCAGCAACACCACGAGGCAGGTACTCTCACGGGCATCACCCCATTCTAAGTAGGAGGGAGAGGCTCCCCACCGTGACACGGCCCGCAGAGGTGAAGCAAGACGCGCCCCAGGGCCCAGGTGTGTGCTCCCGACCGCAGTATTGGGGTCCTCTCCCTTCTCGTGTTGACACCCAACCAGACCAACCGACCCAGAACCACGGGGGTGGCCCCCGGCAGCAGAAGCCGTGGAAGTCTCGCAGGTGATTCCAGCTGGGGCCACTCTTGGGAGCCACTGTTACTAACGTGGGCGGCAGTCCCTACTTGCTGACTCACCAACCAGGGGATGGAGACCAGCTGTCTTCATTCCTGGTCTCATGCTGGGGACCATGTCTACGGTCACTTGAGCCCTATTCCCTTAGAACACGAACGGGGCATCAGCCTTTGGACTCGTGATGTTTGGAATGCTTTATATGGAATTATTACTGGAACAACTCAGTGTTGAGGACTGAATACAGAGTTAGGAAAGAAGGGAAACATTTGCAAAGGGTCCTCAAGCCAGGAGGAAGCAAGCAGCCCTGCCCTGCGAGGCGGGAGGAGGTGCTGGAAGACAGGCGGGGGCTGGGGGGGGGCGGCCAGCTCGTCACACCCTCAGATGCTGAGCAGTTGACATTTCCCTTATGAGTGATGTGCCGCCTCCTTAAAGAAAGGGGCAGGTGCCTGACAGCTCTAAAGGCATGTAAAGATAAAACAGAGCTGTCAGAAACCATTATTCTCCTGTCAAGTTATCTGGAATGTCACTGACAGCAATTCTCTCTTCTGCACACACGACAGTCACCCGTGTTTTTGAGAAACAATCTGGAGTTTTATGACAATTTCTGCAAGTCCTCCGCCCCCTTTTCATGTTTACCTTCTCAGTGTGATTTCACTATTCGAATTCCTCGCATTTTCGCTCTGGGGGGTTGTCTGTACTTCCGGGTGTCGCTGGCGAGCGGGGAGCGTCACCCCCACGGTTACCGTGCATTCCTTGTCTCTCTCGAACACTCTGCGGGATGACTAATCAGCTTGCAAACTGGGGCCCACGTGAAGGTGGAGAGGATCTGAAGAACTCGGGCTCATGGAATGCGGAGGTGGTGGAGCTCACCAGGATTTCAGTAATCCTTTGAGCCAAGCCTCTTCTTCCATGAGTGAGGAAGGAGGGAGGCTCAGAGAGCCTCAGCGCCCCCTCCCTCTGGTGCACACAGACACCTGGCCTCCTTCCTGCACATACTCGGTCCTCCAATGACTCGAAGCACTGTTTTGTCAATCTTTTTACTTTCTTTTTAAAAATTCTTAATTTGAATTCAATTAATTAACATATAATGTATTATTAGTTTCAGAGGTCGAGTTTAGTGACTCATCAGTTGCGTATAACACCCAGTGCTCATTACATCACATGGCCTCCTTAATGCCCATCACCCAGTTACCCCATCTCCCCACTCCCCTCCCCTCTAGTGACCCTCAGTGTGTTTCCTGAGATTAAGAGTCTCTTATGGTTTGTCTCCCTCTCTGATTTCATCTTGTTTTATTTTTTCCTCTCTTCCCCTATGGTCCTCTGTTTTGTTTCTTAAATTCCACATATCAGTGAGATCTTATGATACTTGTCTTTCTCTGACTGACTTATTTCGTTCAGCATAATACCCTCTAGTTCCATCCATGTCATTGCAAATGGCAAGATTTCATTTTTTTGATGACTGCCTAATACTCCATTGTATATACATATACCACCTTTTTATTGTCTCTTAAGAAAATAAATGTCAATTGCATTTCTGGAAAAAAATCTATTCTTCCGTGGTGGACCAGTATGGAAAGCCGAAACAGTAAAGGATGTCAAATAATGTTTTGTTTGAAAGACAGCTTTTAAAGAAGCACAAGGACATGGGAAATCTTCCTATTCTTTTACACTTATATGGCTCATTCTCACGCATAAATACAATTTTACATCATCAAGCACATGCTCCAGAGTATTTTACAAATAACTTTACATTATAAGAAGTCAAACATGTTTTATTTTTGTTGAGAACTTAAAATATAGAGTATAGGGGGGAAAATAAAAGTTATCGGTAATCTTGAGACTGTTTTCATTTTGGCCTACTTCCTACTAGCATGACGTCTCCTACCTGCCCATATACGCACGGACCTGTACTGACAGAGATGCTCATGCATTTAACAACATGATGATCGCTCTGCAGACACAGCTTTCTGTCCTGTCTGACCCATGTAACACTGTGCCCAGGGCACTTTCTCAAGGACACTGGGTTGGATTACAAACAAATGTGGAGATGTGCATCCGTGCAGGGTGAATCACTGAGCTGGAGTGCTTGGCACGAGCTCAGAGTTCAAGGTTAACGCTGATGGAGTGCAGGTTGAGCAGTGGGTTAACAGAGCAAAGTCGAGCTCCTTGACTGGACTTCGCACCTCCAGAGCCGGTGCATGGCCGCGGATTCCCTTCCAGCGGTTCCAGTGTCACTCCGACTTTCCTCCCTTTCCTCCCAGGGGCAGGGGACGGTGAGGTCGTATTTGAGGGGAAGAAGGGACAGTTGTGATCAAAGGGAAAAGGAACCATTTAAGGTCCCAGCCTTGAACAACCTCCTTTGGAAGAACATTTGCTCTCCTTGGAATACCTAGGATGTGCAAGTCTATATTTATATGGTTTACGTATTTCCTGGCCTAAACTGTTGGTTATCTTATTTGCCAGCCAATAGTAAGTGACGTGTGTGCAGAGAATGTTATATTCCTTGTATCGCCCCCTGAATGTACTTGCTGAGGACATTGTCTTAAGACCTAAAAACACACATGCGGCCTTGACATCTTTGAGCCTCACAGAGCCCCTTGCCCTTGACAGATAGCTCCCCACCTTGCAGTTCCTGGATAAGCTGGAGCAGCTACACCCCCATCTGGTCCTCACCAGGCTTCAGCTCCCTACCAGCTTACAGAATGATTCAAACAGGCCCAGCACATCCTCTGTGGGCACTGGGGGCCACCTTGCCTTCTTGTTACTATAAAGCCTGCCTCCTCCAGCCTGTCCTCGGTGGCTCTGCTCCTCCCTCCTCCCTCTGCTCCTCCCCAGGCTGATGAGTGTATATGACCAATAAACTCTGCCGCACCTGCCCGGGGCCTGCTGTGTGTGCTGGGACATCTTACACTGCTTAGGGGACGAGCCCCTCCCTCACCAACGGGGAGAGTGGGCGGGGATCAGAGCGTAGCAGGTGCTCAGCTCTCCCGTGCTGTTGGCTATGAGACTGTGAGCCAGGAATGGGGATCTTGGATGCGGTTTTATTTTGACACGTTTTTTTGAAACTGAGCAATCCAGTCTCACTGAGGATTCAGGCTGAGTTGTGGTCCACAGGCAGCCATACGACCTGCTTCTGCTTTCTTCCCTGATGAGCTATTTTCCAAATCGTACGCCACAGCCGGACATATGTGGGAGAATGGTATTTACGCAATATGGCTTTCTCTCTGAAAATTGTGGAAATTTTGCAGGGATATGTTAAATGTCCAGGGAAATGTTTATACTGTTTATCGTCAGCCTGAGAGTAACGTGTCTGATATACTCCTTCAGAGACAACTTCAGAAATCACGCGATACGAAATAGAATGCGTATTTACGCAAACAGTCGGCAGCGCACGAACCACAGTTGGCGTCTCAAACACGGCCAGCCCCCTCGTGAAATGCTCACCTTTCAAGGTAGCTTTCTTAAGGACTTTCATTGCATATAGCTGCCCAGCATCAGATCCCTTGGTCTTCCTCACCAGGAACACCTGATAAAGAGAGCACGCAACATCTGAGATTGGGAAGACTTGGAACTCCTTGTCCTTATTTGATTTGACAAGGTGATATACAAGGGAGTTTAGGGGAAAAAATCCAATAAAATAAATACGTAAAATTTCCTCCAGCATCTAGGCTGCTGGGACAAATGTCATCTAACTGACTGCAACTCTGTGATGAAAAGCATCACGTGTGTGTGTGAAGAGTCGTTTGTTTTTGGCACACTAACTTTGTCCTAAACGTTTTCTAGCAAAGGTATTACCACCCTTCTGGAAAACAAAAAAGAGACCAGTTGTTTAGAAAAACAGATAATATTCTGAAATTTTAAGGGAGATCATTTGGCTTATTCTAAATATCCCTTTGTAAGTCCTCGCTGGGAAGCCACCATGAGAGTTCCTGCCAATCACATGGAATAGACTCTGATTCTCAAGATAATCTGGGTTCTCTTATTTTGAGCTTTCTTCACCCCAATTTTAGCTTTGAGCAGAGTTAAATTTATAGAGAGTTTCTTTTTCTTTTTTTAAATAGAGTGGGTTTCTAAAAGGCTCTTAGAGACACTTGTTGGATCTTTAATGACATTTTTGAAACACATTTTGAGGTACAACATCAAGGAAAACCAAAGAGAAAATTGCTTGAGAAGCTGAGCGAGCTTAGGGTCACAGTCACGACTGTTGAACAGGATGAGTAAACACACACCCCCCCCCCGGGGCACTGACGGCAGATGCGGAGATCCACTGGCATCATAGAGACCGCCACGTGGATGACGCGTGCTATCCAGGGCAGGGGCCACCACGAGGGTGACGGGGACCCACCCCCTTCCCTAAATGCCTGCCTCACAGACCCTCGAAGCCAGAAAGACCTGCCACTGCACATGCCTCCAGGGCTACAGCGTCTCCCGCGGGGGACAGAGACCAACAGCTTCCCCCTCAGGGAGGAGAGTGAAGGGGAAGAAGATGGCTGAGGGCAGGTCTCCAGAGCAGAGGGTCTGCTGTCCCCACAGGACACGGCTTCCAGTTCCAGTGACCTGGAAGATACCAAGTTCCAGCAGAGGAACGTGGGTTCATGGGGTCGGTCCTCGGATCACCGTGTGCCCTGGAGCCCAGGCAGCTGCCTCCTGACCCAGAGCGGGTCCTGGCCCTGGGACAGCTCCTTCCCCACTGCTCTCAGGTCACAAATCGGGGTCAATGCCAACGACCCCTTGCCTCCCCCGGCCCACACAAAAATGAGGGCAAGAGGGCCAGGCCGGCCCCACTGGATGCTGCCTCCAGGAATGAGGGGCCCAGGCAATCGTGGACAATTAGAAGTAGAATCACCCTTTTCTATTGGATTCGGACTATTGCGTCACTGAGTGTTAATATTTATCTTTGGGGCACATTTGACATGTCTCTGTGTTGGCTGGATGAAGCAGGCTGTGGGGCAGACCCCCAGGGAGAGAGTCTAGGGTCTCTCCCTCAGCGAGCACAGATGCACAGGATGAGACACGAGCCTGTGTGACGAGGGCTCTGCCGGGGGAACGTCCAGCTGGGGACGAGCCTCCCGATGGGCAGGTAGAGCTGCCCCCAGTTGTCAGAAAGGGGGGTGTGCAGAGAAAAACTTTAGTGTCCGACATGTTGAGTCCTCTGACTCACGGGAAGTCATGGGCCCTGCGGTGTGTCTGCTCACGCTGTGGTCCCCTCAGGTCTCCAAGCCCTGTCCCCGGCTGGCGCGGGCCAGTGAGCGAAGGGGAGTAGCCAGGATGCAGGTGATGGGCAGCAAACCAGTGAGCAGGTGGGAGAGGCTGGGGGCCCTCCTGAGGGGCCTGGGCCCAAGCCTCAGTGCCCAGCACCCTGGAAAGAAAGCTGCGCCCTGAAAGGCATGGGGGTGAGGGGGAGGGGTGTCTGTGGCAGGGAAGGGGTTGCTGGCTAAACAGCTGTGACTCTAGCAGAGAGGGACCTCTGGGGTCAGAGCACTGCGGAACTGGAGCAAAACACTCCAGCTGAGCCCTGGCCGTGGGGCCGCGGGGGAGCCAGCCTGGGCCACTGAGTCATGGTGCAGAGAAGACGCGGTGGCTCCTTGTTCAAGCCCTCTGTGCGCCTCGGCTGGGGCCAGTAAAACTACTGACTCTTTACAGTGAAGCCTACTGGTTAGCCCCAAGACGAGGCATTCTTAGAATCAGAAGACCAGCAACAGCAATAAGACCCTCTTCCAAAATGTGCAATATCGAAACCATCTTTTCTGCCTGCATCTTCATCCCTTTGTCCACCTGTTCTCTTGCAATATGAGGAGCAGGTGCATGACACACACGGAAACGTGCATGAGGGCAGACATAGGAGCTTGAGGACTAGTGGAAACCCCGTCCCACTGAAGACGACACCGGAAGCCGAGTTCATGGGGGCTTCCACCCACTAAGAGTATCGCAAATGATGTTAGATTTTGCATGAAGCGTTGCACATCAAACCTTCTTCTCTATTGTATTTCAGGCTTTTAAAAATGAGATGATTGATTGTGATGGCAATTTGTATGCATCTGTTATTAAAAGAGTGCTTTTATTTTTTAAAAGAACTGGAAAAAATTCCATTCTTGCTGTGATTGTGAAGCCCCCACTACGCGTGGGGCTGGGGGCTACAACTCGAACCACAGCGGGAGGGACCCCCTGGGCAAGCAGGGCCCGACAGGAGGTAAACAGAGCCTTGAGGGCATGAACTACGGGGTCATAAGTGCCACCAGTGAATGTGGTCACGAGCAAGGAGCTGGGCTCACGAGCTGTAGGTGACCGCTCCCGACCACCGCCCCGCACCTCGTCCTCTGGTGCTGGACGCGCATCGGTCAGGAACACATTTGGACACAGTGAAATAGGTTCTGGATAATTCCAGCAATTTCAGCACATAGTGGCCGACCTTCTGTCTCTAATTCAGCTTTAACGGGCTCCCCATGTTGTTCTCGACTTCCTCTTCAGCAGCTCAGCATGTGACATGCAAGGACATTATGTGGGGACACACAGAGACAGATGCTGTGTCATCCTAAATCGCCCCAAATCTTCAGGTGTCATCGTGATCAGCGAAACCACTGCCTGATTCTCTCAGCGAACTTTTCGGCTCTCAGAGCTACAACGTCGCGATTGGTCTCCAGTGTTCTCCAACGCAGGAGCCGACCTGGTGGCGGCCGTGCCCTTTCAGAGGATGTTAGGGGGACAATGTCCTCAAAAGGAAGATATTTAAAGACCCATTCTTATTTGCTACCAATTAAGTGATAGGAAAGCAAGGGCATGTTTTTATTTGGTTTGATCCCTTCTTAGAATGTGGGAATTGTAATCTGCATATTATTTTAAAGAAAAGAATGTTCCCATACAGATCCCTGGTGTTTATCCATGAGGAACACCAAGGAGCAGGCAAGGGGATGCGGAGGAGGGTGATGGCATTGCTTTTGGACTCTCCTGCCTGCAGACTCTCAAGGAGCGCCTGGTCTATACTATGCACCTGAGCACCTGGTGTGCACCACTCGCCGGAGCACCTGAACATACCGTGCCACATCTTCCAGAGTTTCACTGCTTTCCCAGTTCAATGCTTAAATCTCTTTGAGGACAAGGCTGTTTCTCCTGTCCAAGCACCACTGCTTCCTTTGCTCTCTGGACACCCTTGAAATCATGATGGCTTGACAATTTACTAAGAACCAGAGATGTTCTCCATTGTTCCCAGCAAACTGCTCTGCAAACCAGTTAACTTGCTTCCTACACTTTGCAGGACTGACTTGGAGAGGAGAGCAGGCGCTGCTCTCCGTGTGGTCCCGCACGGGGACCTGCAGGCTGCAGCCCCCACCCGTCCCTCAGAGATGCTGCCCCTGGGAGTCATCCTCTGGGGCTTGGGGCTCCTTCTGGCTGCACAAGCAGATTCACAGCAGCTGAGGGAAGAGCCATCAGGGCCCCTCCCCTGGGCGGGATGGCAAAGGCATGCTGACGGACCCTGGGACAAGCCTGCCGTCGGAAGCAGGCATCAGTGCGAAGGCCAAGTGGCAGAGACAGCATTTTACTCCTTCCTGCATCTCCAGCATCTGCAATCGCTGCACGGAGGAAAGACAGAATGGAGGTACCTGGTGACAGGTGAACGGAGGGGCCCAGTGACAGGTGAACGGAGGGAACTCAGTGACAGGTGAACGGAGGGGCCCAGGGAGAGGTGAACAGAGGGGCCCAGTGACAGGTGAACGGAGGGGCCCAGTGACAGGTGAATGGAGGTGCCTGGTAACAGGTGAATGGAGGGGCCCAGTGACAGATGAATGGAGGGGCCCAGTGACAGGTGAACAGAGGGAACTCAGTGATAGGTGAAAGGAAGGCCCAGTGACAGGTGAATGGAGGAGCCCAGAGAGAGGTGAACAAGAGGGGCCCAGTGACAGGTGAACGGAGGGGCCTGGTAACAGGTGAATGGAGGGGCCCAGTGACAGGTGAACAGAGGGAATTCAGTGATAGGTGAAAGGAGGGACCCAGGGAGAGGTGAACGGAGGGGCCCAGGGAGAGGTGAACAGAGGGGCCCAGTGATGGGTGAACGGAGGGGCCAAGGACAGGTGAATGGAGGAAACTCAGTGATATGTAAATGGAGGGGCCCGGTGACATGTGAACAGAGGGTCCCATTGACAGGTGAATGGAGGGTCCCAGTGACAGGTGAATGGAGGGTCCCAGTGACAGGTGAATGGAGGGGCCCAGTGACAGGTGAGCAGAGAGGCTCAGGGACAGGTGAGCAGAGAGGCCCAGTGACGGGTGAACGGAGGGGCCCAAGGACAGGTGAATGGAGGAAACTCAGTGATATGTGAATGGAGGGGCCCGGTGACATGTGAACAGAGGGGCCCATTGACAGGTGAACGGAGGGTCCCAGTGACAGGTGAATGGAGGGTCCCAGTGACAGGTGAATGGAGGGGCCAAGTGACAGGTGAGCAGAGAGGCTCAGGGACAGGTGAGCAGAGAGGCCCAGGGACAGGTGAACAGAGGGGCCCAGTGACAGGTGAATGGAGGGGCCCAGTGACAGGTGAACGGAGGGGCCCAGTGACAGGTGAACCGAGGGGCCCAGTGACAGGTGAATGGAGGGGCCCAGTGACAGGTGAATGGAGGGGAGGGGCCCAGTGACAGGTGAATGGAGGGGCCCAGTGACAGGTGAATGGAGGGGCCCAGGGAGAGGTGAACGGAAGAGCCCAGCAACAGGTGAATACAACCCGGGAATGCTAGAGTCCAGATTCATTCTCTTTGCTCTTGGGTGAAGAGGCAAGAAGTGAAATCTCTCTAACAGGAGCTTTCTGCAGGAAATTTGCTTGTCTCTATTCCGAAATCCTAGTTCTTAGACAAAGAATGATGCCTTCTCTTTTTTTCTGACATTTCTAATTAACAGCCGCTATTCCATTACCACATAAATAGGCTCTGCCTTATGCTTTTAGTAACGCTCCTTACGCTGTGAGACACTGAAGTCTTCATTCCCTGCTTCCAAAAATACCTTATGATCCACATTAAAAAGCCATTTCTGTAGGACACGAAACTGTGAATATTGGAAATTGGGTGTTGTTCCAAACGAGTGTGTTTGTATATGTGTCAGTGTGTACACCTCCTTCCCATGTGGCCGTACAAAAGTGGAACACAAAACAGAAAGACTACCGTATACGCAGGCCAAAAGATAAGTTTTGCAAGCAATCAAATTTTCACGGTGTGTAAGAGACTTTCCAGAACATCATTAATGCACTATTAGTTGTGCATTAAATCAACAGACGCTAGATTTCATCTCGGCACAAAGTCCTCCGAAGAACGGAGAGATTTGGTGAATGTCCACGTTCCACACAAAACGACTCTTTTACAGGTCCAGGCCGCCGTTCTGCTTGTGCCCCAGGGAAGGACTGTACTGCTCTTCTCAGGCCCCGATATTCCAGAAATCACGCCCTCAGAGTCTATGGATTTCTCACTGTTACACGGGGACGTGGAGGAACCAGCACTGCAATGGAAGAACTCGCACGTTGTTGTAACTGAGGATCCCTTGGCATCCTGCCGGACTGGGATGTGGCCCGAGAGAAGGGCCGAGCACTTCTCATCCTGGGAGGGATCAGCCTGCACCACACCTTGACGGTGACGCAGAAAGGGCACGATTCTGTGCGTAGATACAGCTGAGACAACGGCTGGGTGGGATCCAGTCTTCTTCAGTCATAGAATAACCACAAGGTTTATGCCATCCCCATTGTGTAGAGAGGGAAACTGAGGCTCAGAGAGCAAGAAATGCACAGCTGAGGAGAGGAGGCCAGTGGCGAGGCCCAGCCTCCCTGACTCCCGAGTGCCAGTCGCATGCTGGTCGCGAAGGGCGCTGCTTTCTTCCTTCTTGTTGAGTCTGCGCTTTTGGAGAGGCATTGGCTCAAGGTCAAGAACCGTCCTCACGGTCATGTTGGGTAGAGGCCTAGGGAACTCTGAAGGCCACGGTGTGGGGTATTCTCACGGGCCCACACCATTGTGGTTCGCACAGCTGCGTGTCACAGAATCGTAACCGTGCAAAGTGCGCGTGGGTGGCAGGGAATACGGGACCCCGCAAACGGGGGCTGCCCGTGAGTCTCCCTCCCTCGGCCTCAGGGCCGCGGCTCCCATGTTCACGAGCCAACCCAGCCATCGCTCACGCGCCCCGACATTCAAGTGCTCTCCGCCTTGGCACGGGGGACCTGCCACAGTGTGTGAGACTCACTCAGAGGGAATCAAAGCTCCAACTTACCTTTCCATAGGATCCTTGTCCTAGAACTTTCAGGAGTTCAAACTGGGAAGGGTCGGCCTTCTCAAAGCCTTCCTTTACATGGTGGCTGATGTCGATTTCCTTGACAGTGCCTTCCTCCTGCAAGAGAGCGGTGGTACATGGTGAATACACCCATCAGCAGGCTCCTCTGCATTCACCACACTCCCGTCCTACACTGAAGTTACGACACGCTGGGTCGTGTTATGGACTTTGAGGACCGCAGTGAAGGCAGGGAAAATCTCTTCCAACCCTCAAGGTTTTCCAGCCGGACTGAGGATTGAATTTACATGAGACCGATTAATAGGAGAAAAAAAATCAAAGTATTATTCCATGTGCACAGAGGCCCAATAACGAAGCTGAGACCTAGAGAAATGACCAGAGCAGGCAGTTTTTATTCTTTTTTTTTTAAGATTCTATTTATTTGAGAGAGAGAGAGAGCACAGACAGGGTGAGGGGAGAAGCAGACTCCCCGCTGAGCAGGGAGCCCGATGCGGGGCTCGATCCCGGGACTCCAGGATCATGACCTGAGCCGAAGGCAGACGCTTCACCGACTGAGCCACCCAGGCGCCCCCAGTTTTTACTCTTTATAGACAAAGGGACAACAACAAATCTGTCAGGGATGGGCAAGACAAGGAAAGCTTGACTTTGGGAGCTTCAGTTAATTAGGAATTATAAGAGGATTTGGGCTGGGGCAGTAAACTGGGAAAAAGTAGCAAAGGCTCCTGTCTCTGGGGACAGGCTGTCTCTATTTCCTGGTGACGAAGGGTACCCTCCCCGGGGCGGGGGGTGGTACTGTGACACGTGGGACATCACAGAGCTTTACGCCATCATCCTTCTCTGTGCCTATCTCAGGAAGCAGGCCGGGGAGCTCTCGCTTGCTTCTTTTCCACATGGATATTTGTCATTTGGTCTCATCTCAAGGACTCGTCAGGAGCTCTCCACAAAATCCATTCTGTGTCCAACAGTTTGGGCAAAAGTTGGGATAGGGATGATTATGGGACCCGTGCGGCAGGATGGACCTCTGAGATCTGGCTCAATGTCAGCGGGGCTGTGCTGAAAAGGGCCGTTGACAGGCTCCCTACGTGGCCGTGGTTTGTGAAACGCAGATGTGTGTCCTCCTCCTCCTTCCTGAAGGATACCTTTGCCAGAGCTAATGCAAAGTGCATTCCGTTGGTCTCCCAGAGACTAACGGTCAGAAGAAGCAGTCAGACAAGATTTTTCTGCCAGGCCAGAAGCAAGATTTCCCAGTAGGAAAAAAAAAAAAAGTCCTTGTTCTTTAAATTGGCATGGACAGAAATCACTACGATTTTTCGTCAGAGAACTTCCTATCCCCACAGATGCATCACTTCACTTACAACAGGGTGAATCCACCCAATGCCAGCAATCTGAAGTTGGGAAGCTGGGAAAGAGGCGTTTTTCCTGACAGTAGAGGCTCACTGTTGCTCAGTGCCTCGCTGTGCTTCTCTGGGACTCCCCTTCCAGCCCCTCCATCCGAGCACTCACCCCTGCTCTACCATCTTGGCATCGGGCGAGGTGTTGAAAAACAGCAGAATGGGCTGGCTGAAAAGCTCATCTAAAAATAGCGCCCAGTAATCACAAGCACATTGTGTTCTGGGCACTCAGGACTTCTCATTGTTTCTTTCATTCCTTAAGAAATTGTTTTGAAGTAGAGATTCAGTCCGAGTCAGGCCCAGAGCTACAAGTGTTAGAGATGGGTTTCCACTCCTGGGGCTCAGGGACACCACCCCTTCTCCCTGGAGTTAGTCGAAGAGCAGCTGTTTTCAAGTGAAATCGTAATAGCAGTAATTTACATGACAGGGGTCTCTCTAAAATGTACGGAGATTTCGGTTTCTCAAAAGTTACGAATTGTTATATTTTATCTCTGCGTAACCAGTTTTGGACACCTTTAAAGTAGACCAAGGTCGTACGCGCCGCAAAACCTCACTGCAGGTCAGGAGCCTGTGCAGGAATGTTTTGCTTTTTCTCTTCCCATGGTTAAGAGAACGCTCCAATTTCTACATCTTTGAGGATTATTTGCCATTTTTGTAGAAACAGTGGTTTTTCTAATTGTGAACAGAAACAAATGAAAATAGCCAAAATGGATTCTTTTTGATCAGTTCCTAAGATTCCTAGGAGCTCAGTTAGGAGACCAATTAGAATGTCATTGATTTGTGATCACTTCTTGAATAAAAAAGTAAGGCTCGGGGGCAAAGGTCACCCAATTGGGGATTATATTTAGACTGTAGTCTGGGGTGGAGGTCACAGTTGAAGACATTCCCGCTTTCGGCCTCAAGCCTCCTAGACCTGCAGACCCTGTAGGCTCAGGAGACCGAGCAGCTTCTGGAAGGAACGTCTCCATTTAGCACAGGAAGGGAAAGCGACCGCGGGACCCTCAGCTTCACCGTGGTGCCTGGTTTCCCACAAAGACTGCACTCTGCGGGCCTGCAGCAGACTTTGATTTCCCACTCAGAAATCAAGGCCAAAGCCGAAGTTCAAAACACTTCTCCAAGTCCCCATAGACACATAGATGCTATCCTTCCCTGCTGTTGACTTGTCAACTGAAGAAAGAGATGGAAGATGATTGGTCACTTAAGTGAGAACAAAGTGCCCCTTTCCTGTTAATGAAGCACTTTCCAGCAGTGGGCCCACTGACCACCCTCTCCCTACGGCGCAGCCCGCTGGGAGTCCCCCAGAATTCCGATTTCCCTCCTGAATGAACTTCCATCACACAGCCGCGGTAATTCGGCACCTGCATTACGAACAAGGTCATAATTTCCTGAATCCCGTCTTTCTGTGACTTCATTTTGGTAAGAGACACATCAACAGTCACAGTGCTGAATAGAGAGTCAAATTCAACACTGTCGTGGGCGCAGAGTGGGAGAGGGACAGTGTCCACTCAGATGGCCAAGGAGCCCGGGGACAACGGGGGCGTGCACTCTTGGCTTGGCCTCCAATCACACTTCACAGCACATGTGTGTTTCATGACGATTCCAGATCATTCCTCCTCTTCAGCTGCTCTTTGTGGAGAGCCAGAGGCCCACAGTGGCGGTAAGTGAGGTCACTCAACCCGCTGGGACGCCGTCAGGTGGCATTCTTACAGTGGGAGCCCGCTGTGCCCAGTCCCTGGACATTCCCACCGCGTCCCTGCTCCTGGAGCGCCAGCCGGTGAAGCTGACTTCTCCTCCCTGTCCACCGCGCCCCCTTCCATTTCAGAAGTTTACCTTCTTAACATTTCAAATCAAAGGCTTACAAACAAATCTCTCAGAACATTTCAAGTGTTTTGTATTCTTGCTGTCCAAGAATTTAGAGCAAACGTACCCAAAGCACATAGCTAGTTTCACCCCCGAGAATGGCATCAGAAACCTCAGAACTCTCTTCCCTGATCACATTGCAATGCGGTTCATTTCCCACGTGAAATCACTAAGGTCTTTAAGAGCAAAGACTCTCAGTTATCCCTAAGGAACCAAGAGTGTCACATTTTCGATTTCAGAGTTTTGCATTTGTAGTGACATTTTGGCTTGAATTTGCCTGAGGATACTTTGCTTTTCTCTTTCCCCAGAACTTAAAAGAAAGAAAGAGGGGAGGGGAAGGGAGGGGAGGGGAGGGGAGGGGAGGGGAGGGGAGGTTGATCCCGTGCTGACCACAGTGGCCCGTGTGCCTAGATGCAGGCAGGGAGGGGAACATGTCCAGGCATGTCTGCTCTTGTTTCCGGATGGAACGGCCTATTTTCTGGATGATCACTGCCCTAAAGGGCAACTAGAATTATAATATCACCCATGTGTCATTTTGAAATAAATGCCTTTTCTTTGTTATCAGGCAGGCCATTTTATGTAGAACTCTGTGGATTTTAATGTTATTCCTTTCAGAAAATAAACTCTGTCCCTAAATGCTCTACATATGGCACTAAAGATTTGGTTTCTAGTGTGATTCCTGTGAATGGGTATTTTTTTTTTTTTAATAACTTGAGAAATTTGGTGGGGAGAAAGTGGTACCTTGCTTCACAAGCAAGAGGATTTCAAAAATGTTCTAATGAGATAAAAGCTAGAGAAATAAATTGTTTAAATGACATCAATATGTGACAAGATAATTTGTGACAATGAATTTTTTAAGTCCCCGTTGAATTGTTTTTGAACTTCTGACGGATCACAGAGCTTCGTGGGCAGGTACCCAGCAGTGGTCGTGAGAGGCTGGTGGCTGCAGAGAGTGATGAAAGTGGGCGGGGGGGGGGGGGGGGCACCTCACAGCTGTCCCCTCCTCCCTGCACTGAGGTCACTTTCTTAGAATGTCCTCCATCCCGAAACATCTGTTATTCATGTCATTTTTGAAGGGAGAATATTTGTGAAAAGCACGTGCAAATCAAAAGTTTTGAACTATTAATGATAAAGACATAGAAAATAGAAGTTGGGCAAGTGTTAGCTTCACCTCCAGAACAGGGGGAGAGTTCATTCTAGAAATCACCAATTCACAGGTGGGATATCAATTCCCATGCAGGGTACAGAGTGGAGGATTAAACAGGTGGTTTATAAAAGTGTAGAAAAGAACAAGGAAAGGACCTAGCCTCTGAGTCTCTGGGAGCAAGTCCTTCAGAACCCCTGGGGGAGCTAGGAGCTGGTTAAATGTGCAGATCCCGGGGTGCGGGGGCAAGGCCTGGAATCTGTGAAGGACAGGGTCCTAGCTCAGAACACAGAACTGGGTTTCACTTAGCTTCCCTGCTCACACCAGCACTCTTTCCCCTCCTGTGCTTCCCACCAGCTTATGTGGATGCTCTATCTACTCAGTGAAAATAAAAATTTCATTGTCCCCCCACCCCCAAGTTCACCAGGTGCAGACACAACTCAGAAAGGATTTTCCAAACTCAGGGTCTCTGGTACCTCCACTACCCACTGGCATCCGGCTCCCACCACCTCACACCAAGTCATGACAGGGTGCTAACTCCAGGGGTCAGATCCCCGAGCTCCCCGCCTCTCTGTCTTCCTTGGGACATTTTCCTCACTGGCATCCAGGATGTCCTGCTCCCTGGGACCCTCCTACCTCCCCATTCTCTGTCTCCGTTCCTCCTTCCTTCTCTCTCTGCCTCCCAGCATCCTGCCACACCCACC